GATTATGGTTTCTTGTACACACACACCCCGCTGTCTTGCGGGTCAGGCTTTAGCTAGCCAAAGGCTCCAGTTGAGAATTCTCGAGAATGTTCACCTGTCTTACCCTGTCAACTTGGAAGTACTCTGCGCACGAACAAATTGTGGAACTTTTTTCCTTTTTATAAAGATTATTATACCGGAGATTTGTTTGGCACATACAGTCTAAATTTAGACAGGTGTGAGATCCACATACTTTGAACAATACATCGCCTATCAATAACACCATAATTGGAGGCATAGTTTTCCCGTAACGAGTTTGAATAAAGAAGCCAAAAACACAGGTTTGCACAATGCATCCGCTGTCTCCCCACACCAAATCTAATTGTATCTATCAGTTCAAGTGTGAGTGATGCTCGGTCATCTACATTGGCAGAACGCAGAGACAACTACGTTATCGAGTAGCTGAGCACATCCCGGTCTGGCTTTAGAAAACAATGAGTGGGAACTTCTAAAGTATGAGGTCACCGATGACCCGTAGGAAACTCAGTTGGTCGAAATGAAACACTGTGTCATGTTGTGCGACGCGTTCAGAATCCTCTACACAACACAAATAACACCAAGGTTCTGAAATACGCCGAAGCTATTGTCATTCAAAATTGCTATCCCAAATTGTGTAAACAGTGTGAATGGCTTATCACTCCGACGCTACCGTAGTAACAAAAATGTGTTTTGGTGAGTAATTTTGGCCGCAATCTTTCTCCGTCTATGATTCTGTTATTTATTAATCGCATATAATAATGATCATATAGACTGCAGTATACACGTGTATAGATGCAGCGAAATGATCCAAGGAATACATTGTGCAAACCTTTTCGCTTCTTTATTTAAACACCACAACCGCCATTTACTTGCTCCCATCCACACACACACACACACACACACACACACACCTCATCCAATGAATTCTCTGACCGAACTACAAATATTTTTTTATCACAAAATATTGAACTGTCCAATTATAAATCATAAAAGTCTGAAATCAGGACAGAAATCTGGGACCGTCTCAGATCGGTTCCTTATTGGCTGTTCGAAATCGTGCAAATTCGCAATTCTGGCTGAGGATTTTCATACAACTGTTCCGCATTCGACTGCATTCAATTCAGTCACCGCGTGATTTCACGAGCAGAGTGATCAGTGAACTTATGTCGTCAGAATTTGATATCATTTTGTAACTTGTCAATTAGAAGTGAGACTACAAACAGTTCCGATGTGCAAATAAACGAAATAGGACCGTGGATGTGGTCATTGACCGAGATGGTTCCTCAAGTTATCCCTGAGCTTGTTTTTTTATATTCCTTTGTCGGAAAATTATTTGATTTGAACTGATCATTCTTCAGCCTTCACCATCACACGCAACCCTCAGTTCATCCAGCCAATCAGAAACAGAAACACTAGACTCGAGTTTCACCCTTATAAGAGCTCATCAGTAATGCATATCTACCCTTCCAACTTCCGGGTGTATTGACTTGATTGGAAAAATTAACCACGCCTTATAATCTGATCCGGCTTGGTCAACTGCGCACCTTTGTGACTCATTACGCAGTTGACCTTTTAATGTACTTCTCCCGTTTTCATGCCCCGATTTGGTCCGACGACAGACTTTGTACTTTGTTGTCGTTGTTTACTTCCCGCCTCTAAACGTCCTTCATCCCATTCACTTGTTTGTTATCTACCCGTATCGTCCTTGAAGCCTCCTTGATCCACGCTTGCCATTCTCGTGCGTCATTACGTACGAACCAACATTGTTCAGTTCCCCCACCCACGCCTGTTGCATTGTCATCCCGTCCTCTTTACGTTGATCTTCATGTTTCGCTTCATTTGCTTAGCGGAGTGTTGTGTGTCATACGATCCCGTGAACCGTTTGCGTGCCCTACATGGATCAATGACTGCGCTTCATTTTCGAGCACTTGCGATTGGTGTTTCTGACCCTTAAATTGTCCCTTTTCTAAGCCGAGTTTGCATTCCTTTTGGTGACCGCTCCGCAGGTGCTTTGTTCTGCGCATTGACCCGCTTTGTATCTCGTTCTTGTACCGTGGAGACCGGATTGACCCACAATTTGAGGTATGGTGTCCGTTTTTGTACATATTTGCCCTCTCATAGTACACGTAGATTACCGATTTCTCGTTATCTGGAATCGGACTTGGGATTCGTATCTACGAGTCATTCCACCACTGGACGACAGTCCGGTACACGGGATTTAAACTCCGAATCCATTACATAAAAGGTGTGTGTTACCACTGTGCCAACCAGTCCATACCATGTATGGGCTTCAGTGATAGCCACCCAGTTCATTTTTGACCCGACCGTAACGAACGATGATACTATTCACAAGTCACTGTGAGCCAAACGCAAAAGATTATTTGCTGCTTTTGCTGTTATCATACGAAAAATTTAATTCCAATCTTTCAGTCTCTCCAATTTCTCTTTTTGTTTGTTTCTTTCTCGAAGTAAATATTCTCTCCTTTGCATTCCGACCTATGATGAGTACTATTCTCTATGCAACGGTATGAGAACAACTCAACTCTTCATTTGATATTGTTCACTCGCCGAGTAGATTTGAACGTATTCTGGAACATTCGTTTCGGACCACTGNTTCTGATCAATGCTCTCATTCTGGACATGAAATATGTGTCATTGGAGATTAGGCGAATTCAGTTGTGTTGATTCAATTTCGTTCGATTTTAAAACGAAACACATTGTTCGCTACATTCCAGTTATCCCAATCAAGATCACGGGGAGAAGAAGTTTGACAACTAGGGTAGATCACGTGCTCCAGTACACATGAGTCACGTGATTCCAGTTCTCGTGGNTCGTGGATTGAACTGATCAGCTTGATGCACGTCTGATGGTACAAACGTGAACCTACTTAGGAGTTCCTACACTCTGGCCATATACACCTCCTGGGCTGCTCTCTCTCCTTGCCTAATTGGTCGCTCTAGTTAGTAATAAGTAATACTTAGTTTCGCTCTGAAATCCTGTATTCCATATTGTGCCGAGCAATCCAATATTCGGACCCTATATAATTCCGTTGATACAGTACAACAAACGGGAAACGTGTGCAAAACCGAAAGAGCTCAATACTTTTATCCCTCGTGGTGTATATATCGACGGATCTCACACTGTGTTTCTTATTGATTTCTTGCACAAGGGAACTGGTATGAAATAGATAAGGTAACTTTGCTAAACTTGGATAAAATAAAGAGATTACGCTAGGGTTATTTCATTGCTTACCAAAATTTACTGATAGACACATTCATACATACTTCACTGTAAACAAAAGAATAGAACCATAGTAAAGATATCAGTCATAGAGTCGGTAGAAAAACATTAAATTGGACTGTGTAGGGAACGCATAGATTCCATCAGTCTCGCTTACCCACCCCCAACCCTGTCCTGCCCTCGCTAACCCAAATCCTATTACGGGCAACGAAACATTCGGTGCTCTTATGCACACTATCTCCCATCTCCCACTCCCGGATTAAGGGAAAATCGATGAACAGGATCAGTCCTGTGAAGTATTTAGGTATCGCACTTGAAAGTAACCTTCGCTGCACTTCAAATACCTTAACTGTTGCTCGCATGCTGAAAGGTTTTTCTCCTTTCAGCTAGAAACGATTGCACCACTTCTGTTCTGATTTATCGTTAATGGAAGGTTTTGTTCAACTGTGTGTTCTCCCCATATCCCTTTACTGCTTCTCTGTGATTTTTCCTAGTTTGCTACAGGCTGATTTCAAGTGCCGTTATCTGTTCTGATTGGCATAATGTGTAATGCTCATAGTGATGCGTGCTTAAAGTTGGCTGATTGCACCCATCCTTTACACATTGACTTGTTTGCATGCAAATCTCACCCATCCCTTCACCCGTTCCCAGTACAAACTCATCCGATCCCGGATATCTGTCTACAGAAACTCTTTGGTACCTTATCTTGCTTGAATAATGACTAACAAAGCGGGTGTTCGTTTTGAGCTTTGTAATACTTTTAATAGTTAATTCATAGTTTGACCTGTTTGATGTCCCGCTTGTGATGGTGGTCTCTCTGTTTGGCTGAAAGCTAGAATATGAATCGCTAGAGCTTCAATACAATACAGTACAATATAATACAATACACACACCATAATAGGATCTGTGCTACAATGAAAAAGAAAGACAGGGCTTGGTGACGATCAGCAGTAGAATGGAAGTGCATTAACAATCAACTGGGTCATGGTCAATTGATCTACTAGTCAGAAATTTCAAACAGTCCAGTGGAAGCGGCAGAAGCCTCGTCTTTGATCACCAATTGCCGTTTACTGAGTACAATCTCTTCCCTGAGGTCAATGCCTAATCATTCTAGCACAGAAGTACTATCTTGTTCTATCACTGTTTCATGGACTCACATGCCAGTCGGACGAAGAGGTCTTACACCGAATCGATTCAGACATCCTGAGTGTGTAACTAGCGTCTTTGAGTTCTCACACTTCATGGACTAGAACCGGAACTTCTCCACACCCCTCGTTAATAGATTGCTGTCTTCACAAGTTTTCTTACTGGTCGACTCTGTTTGGGAATCCGTGAGAACATTACTTGGTTGAGCTTGAGTAACGTGTAAAACAATTGGCAGAAACAAATCATCCTCTCCCGGTTGAACGTTTTGCTGAATACACAGTCGAATCTCTGGCCAGTATAAAATCCACAAGTAACTAACTCCGGACACCATTTGTGTTCTGGTCCCATTCAGCTCCCTATTTATGATTTCTTCCTTTCTATTCCAATCACATTACCAATTCATAAACCGTTCTGTATGGGGTGTGTATTGATTGGTCAGCCAGTTAACTTGGTGTTTACTTGCTTAATCAGTTTGTGAATCAGATTAAAATTATTTTATCACCGGCCGAGCTACGATTCGGTTGCTTGACAAAAGCTTACAAATATCCATTCTTATGTACAGGTCTCCCAGTGATTTGGCATTTCGTGGAGACGGAGGACAGTCTGTCACCTTGGATGACGTGGAAACGCTTTTAATCTAATTGTCAAGCTCAAATTGTAACTGAACATCAGGCAAATCAGTCCTGGCCATGAAGAAAAGACAGTCTATTATGTTAGAGGCTTCATGAGAACTGATAACTTACTTGATAGTGGTCAATTTGGTTGCCAGTGAAAAGCAGTTGATCAGTATGCCCCACAATGTGTCTCCGATTTTCCAACCTAATTTTATAAATGAAAAATAAACAAATAAATAAATAAATTACTAGGGTATGTATGTATGTATGTATGGGTGTGCACATGACAAACCATCCGTATCGTATGATGAAAATTTTTTTTTTCTTGTGGATAACACACTCACCTTTGATGTGTATCTCGGTCACCGTATCTGGTTTATCCGGATGTTCTTGTGCGATGTGAATTTTCGGTCGAAAATAATCCCACGTCTGACTGAGCACAAATGTGGTCGGACGAAATCCGAGTGTATGAGCGAGTTCTGTGTGTGTGTGAGAGAGAGAGAGAGAGAGAGAGAGGGATTCCGAAAAACAAAACGAGAAATGGGCAATTGAATAGGAGTGTGTTTTCTTGAATAAATTGTCACATGTGCATGTTTAATTGTCCTTTTACTACTATTGACTGTTGTCAGTAGTCACACTCTGTTCAGACAATTTTCCCGGTTTCCTGCTTTCTTATTGGTTGACTCTAATCTGTCTTTGCCTTATCGATTCGTTTATTGCATTGCTCTAACCACCGCGCTTTGGTGCTACGCGTTGGACGGATCCTAGTCAGATTACTTCGAATGAACATTTGCTTTCGATTTAAATCCTACTGCTTGTAATGTCATTTGTTAACGTATCGTTTTATCAATACAGAACCACGCCAAAAGACAAGAATCCGAGACGTTCCTACTATCTTCTGACAATGCTATTAATCACAGGGCGCGTATATTCGAGCATAGAATAACACAGTACCATAGATACAATTCGCTGATCAACATAAATAGTCATTTGAGATCTCCCAAAGGTTTGACTGTTCAAATTCCGATTTAACAGGTTCTCTCCCCCCGGGGGAAGCTTTGTCTAACTAGTTATTCATGTTGGACTAAGTTACGTGACTGATTAGAGGATCTGATGTGTGACTGAGAATTAAATGAGTGAAAACCGATTTGTTACGCCAGTTTTATATGTCACATACATATACTACTGAAAAGTTATAAGCATTGATCTCTGTTATTTCATTCAGTTTGCTAGGAATTGTGAGCTATCCACTGACCTTAGGACAGTTTGAACCTATAGGATTGTGAGCCTCATTCTATTACCACAAGACTAATGCACTGGTTTCAGTGGTTTGTTTCATGTAAAATGGTTCGGACATTCAGTCCTCGTATCGAATCACACCGCCGTCACCGATAGACGGCCGATAGACACATTTCCGCAAGCCTCAGTATGATCGAAGCAGGATGTCTTTTTGGCCGGTTACCTCTAGTGTCCCGGTTGAGCAAGTAAATACACATGTCCTCATGCAGTGAATTAGATAATTCGTTTAGTAGCAGTGTATAGCAATTCATTTGGTCCATGAACAAGCAAAGACATCAACAGACAAACAGTTCATGAACCGCGATGACACCACAAATGTAAAAAAGCACAACGTAAAATCAATCTTTTTCTGTATGTGGACCAACCACTGATCCGAGATGAGTCCACCTCGAGAGAGAGAGAGAGAGAGAGAGACAGATATAGCTGTCTAAGTAACAACCTCTCGTGTTATCTCCACAGGTAGAATGAAATTTACCCCCTTGTCACAACGGAACTGGATAGAGAATGTGTTCATGTGTATATATCTTTTTGTTTTCAAGATAAGTAATATATGAATGACTCGACAAAGTTGCCCTGGAAACACATGACCGAATTAGCGATTATTTCAGTTTGTCCGGGAATCTTTTGTCATTTCATTCCCATACTTACACTCAGCAAGTGTATTTTCAATACGGAGTCTACTTTTTGGATAGCTCGTTCAGAACAAGTTCGTTTATGAATCAGTACTATGATACGATGTTTGTAGGAGTAAGGATTGAGTTACTTCAATTTCAAAGACAGAATTCATCGCTTATAAAACAAATAAAACATAAGCTAAAGATTTGGAAAGCTGTTTCAATCTCGTTGGGTGTCATCAGATCCGGGGGGTCGATGAACTCACACTGTTCGGATGAGACTCAACCAGATCGAAACGGCTCTTAAGTTCACGCTTCGTTTGTGGAGAGAGAAAGGGAGAGATCCGATTCAAAACAGCGTAAAGGATTGATTGGATAGGATACATTTCTGCAAACCTCCAGATTAATTGAGCTCACCAATATTGGTGAATGCCTATGAACTAACCAATTCGGAAAGTTTGTCGCCATTCTTGTGGCGCGTGTACAGGCTTGATAAGAAAAGCGGTTTACAGTTAGTTCCTCGTGACCTACCGTCAGTAGCACTGCTAACCGATTCCACCGTAGTTTGAGCTGCTTTCTTCTCCTCTTTGCCTTTTTTTGAGGTCACTGACGGAGCAGTTTCCGGCACATTCTGTCATCGGGGCGGGGCGGGGCGGGGTGGAGGGAGGCCGGAAAGAATGAAGCAGTTCACGAAAGACCACGGTCATTCAACCGTACAGCCCGGAACGCTTACCATCCATGGTGTAGTCGGACGCTGTGCCAGAGGTCTTACGGCAGGACAATACGGAACGGAATTTTCCGTGCACAGATGAACGAAATCCTGTTCAAAACGACCACATACTTCATAGTGTTCTGAAACAGGCACGCATTACAAAAAACAAGGAATGGGATCGAAACCTGGCCGTCTACTGGATGAACTGTCTGCAGTTTTGGGTGATTTATCCTTGGCGGATTTTTCCAATTTCCGTACCATTTAATTAAAACAAGCACTGAAATGAAATGAAGTCCGGAATGATAATCGTGAAGAGAATAAAGAAGGATATTTGCGAGCTTTTATGGTACACGGATTTATCTTTTACCAAAACTGAATACAGCTTTTTTGTTAGTACAATTAACAGTAAACTTCTTTTCAATACACGGCGATATAGTTTCCTGAGGCTAAAGGGGTTTTTGTACCAAGCATCATTTTTAAACGAATTATTGTGCTTTTTGGACCGGTTTTCTAGTGCAATGCGCCACAGGGGCACAGATCTCAGTTGCTGACCCGACAAACGTATCAGACGTTTGTAGCTACGGTGCAGCTACGGTCTGTGGTTGAGGATCTCTGGTGCCAATCGAAACTGATCTGAATGATTGGGCCAATAATTTTCACTTTCTGTTTCTTAGGAACATTGTAATTTGTCAGGGGTGGGGTGGAGTGGGGGGGTGGGTGAAGGTTTGGGGATGATATCACAACTTCGAACTAAATGAGGTGTTCACAAAAGGGACCATTCGAATCACTGAAACAAGCATTTCCCGTGATAAATTTGCAAACAGAAGTCAGGATAGTAACAGTCCATTATGTGTATGTCCAGGACGGTTTTGCTGCATCTCAACTGATGCCTGCTGTTGCAGAAGAAATCCTCCGGAAAGCTTCGGCATGGTCAGAGGCNGGGGGGGGGTGGTGGATGTCTCCGGTTACGGTTGGTCATCCATCCATTGCACCTTGTGAAATAACTCCACATGGAAAAGCGTCTCAAACGGCTTCATCTACTTTGGCTTGAGAAACCTGTTAGTATCATGATACTCTCGAGCAAATTATGGATATTTTTCATTTTTTTATAAAGATTATTATGTCTTAATTTGTTTGGTACACATTCTAAACTCAGGCGTGTGTGAACATATATATATATATGTATATCCAAAAATCACTTGTTGCAAACAAGGTTATTGTGACGAAAATACACTTCCTGGGTAAAAGTATATGAATGAACTGACAAAAGATTACCGGATACGCATGCCTGACGAGCGGCAAGAACCACGAAACCGGTCGTTTGGTTTCAGGGAAATTCCGTCTAGTCATTCGTATACTACTTCTTATGAAATATGTACAGTAAATATTGAAGGGGAGACGTCACCAAGGTAAAGCCAAGTTGATGAACAAGTCCATCTTTTGACACTGGGTTGGTTTCTATCGGTCGATTGCAATCACCTCGGTGATCTTGAGCATTCTGGCGTTATAATTGGTAAAACAAAATACGAGAAATGCTTACAAAACGCCAAACTCTTTGTCAGCCAAGCACATGTTGATGACGCAACACCTTGTTTATTGCGCGCGCGAGAGAGAGTATTTCGAATATTTTTTACCAATGACAAAGCCGGAATGTTCAAGATCGCCGAAGGAGTTGTAATCAACCGATGGAAACAAATCCCGTGTTAACGAAAGGAATTGTCCATTATCCGGACTTTGCCATGGTGACTCTTTCAGTCCTTCACATTTGTTTATTTGTATTGTGTTGTATTGTAAATGACCGGTGCAGGCAACTGTGCCTACATTTAAGTCAAAAAGTGTGTTCACCATTACAATGGGATAGAAAAACATGCAATGGAAATTCATATACGATAATGATAAATCTTAAATAGGAGTTTGTAGGTTTAAAATTAGCTCGTTGCGGATCTTTACCGTATCAGTGAGAATACGAGCCAGATGGGGAGCCGTTGAGTTGCGATAAATGTTTATGCGGGAGGCTAAGCAGCGATAAATTTGGATCGGGCTATAGCGTGCGAACGGCAAGCAGATAAATTGGGATTGAGAAGCTGCCTGGGTCGTTGAGTATCTTGTGGGTAAAATTCACACATGAAGTGATATGAAAATTACACAATTTTGAGATCAGATTGTTTAAAGGAATAAGAGAAACCAGGCTGATAATTACTAAACCGCGACGAAGAGTAATGCAATCCTTTCTAAGTAGTCCAGGGAAAATAACGGGCAAATAATAAAGTATGATAGGAAAAATGCATTCATAAATAAAGGAGCATATGGTTTCTTGCTTCAATCGCAATTGCCGTCGCTTGCGTATTAAAAGGATGAGCGACACAGTTTACCAACACAGGCTAGCACATGAGAGGACCACCGTAGATTGTTATCTATGGTAACTCCCAGGTATTTGGTAGTATGTGTTCTGGTGATGGTTACGGAATTGATGACTGAGGGTTCGAAGGGATATTCGGATTGGCAAAGATTAAAAATGCATTCGAAGCATTTAGAAGTATTCAACCGGTGGCCAGATTGGTTCAAGAATTACTGTACTTGTAATAAACTGTCGGAAAATGATTTTGTAATCCATTTCCAAATTCGATATAAACATTGTATTTGTCTGCAGTAGGCACCTGCTGATATGCACAGAAATCGTCCCGGACGTACATAATGCCTGGCTGTTATCCTGGCTTATCTTTTCGAATGCAAAAACTACTCTATGTTGAAAGTTTCACCAAGTGAATCAGTGTCGTTCGTGAATTTCGTCCGCGTTGTCAGGATATGTTATCACAAATCTCTAATCTGCGACACGGAGCGTAGAATTCGATGTTATTTTTTCCGGTTCATTTGCTATGAACCGCGCCAAATGTACCCTCACTCTCATTTTTGAAATACGCTGGAGTAAGTAGTATGTAAATGACTGGACAAAATTTTTCAAGGAAGCACACCAGCACTTTTATGGTGATTGCTGCTCATCAGGTATAAGTAAATTACATTTTTTAACTATAAAAACATGAAGATCAGACGTCCTGTGGTCGTTTTGCTTATTGATATATCCGGATTTAAATAAAATGCCACACCAGAGTGTAATACTACCAGTTTCATAGTCAGTAATTACTGTGAGCAGTTCTAAATTTTGGCTCAACCCTGATGAAATCAACACTCGTGATTGTCTTCAATCTTCACCTGCTCAAACTGTTCACACACAAATATGAATTATTCGGCTAGAGTGGGTAATGAAAGTCGCGGTAATTGACTGTTAGACTGTTGTGAGGTATACAGTGAAACGTTTACGGGCCACAACTTGATTAGACTGTGCATCATCGGGAAGAAAACATTACGTTTTTCGTGGGAATGGTGGCGGATTACGTAGTAGTCAAGTTAAGGGTGCATTTTATTCATCCAATGTAGACAAAATTTTCAGTGAAAAGAATGCTATCATTTTTGCCTTGGCATTACACGCTATTAAAAATGAGTTTAAACATAGGACAAATAGTTATTGAGATAATAATGAACAGGAAACCGAGAACGCGTAACAAATGAAGAAAATTTGAGCATAAAAATTTACATTAGACTGTGTATAAGTTCGTTTGATATTCGCTCCTTAGAAACCGACAAACGTGAAAGGTAAGGTACAACGAATTTATAAAAAGCAGTAGTACGAGTATTTTAAAGTTGAAATTTACTGCGGGTGACACAAATTGAAATGGAGCGAGATAGGGTTGAGTGTCATAGATGTGATGCATCGGACAAGGTGTTTATTGACAATGAAGTCGGTCAGCACCTCACCTCATATCTAGAGATGTTTTCAGAGAGTGTCTAATCAATATGAAGTCTTTAGACAGTAAACTGGGGAATATAACGGGAGATATAAAAGATCAAATTTCTAACTTTAAGAAATGTTTATTCTGCGCGATAGGATCATTTGAGGTCAGCAGACAGAAAACGTCCAAGATATTTGAAGTGTTGTAACCTTTCATGTCATTGATTAAGTTTGTTGGGAACAGATGATCCAGAAAGAGTTGATAGCCTACAGTCAATGTAAAAACAAAACTTCAATGCATTTGTTGAGATTTAAAGAAAGGGTAACACCATCAGGTCATTCAGAAGTGGAATTTATGGCTGATTGAAAGGAGTTCGTTGAATGGTTGTTATTATTGTTGTTGTTCTTATGAGATGCACCACCAACTATCATATCAAGGACGTATTTAAATGTGAAAACATTTGGGGTGACTGGCAAGTTTTGGACGTAAAAAGAGGACAGATGATGGGATAAAATTGCACCGTACAATTGTTTTCATATAATCTGGTCTTATCCGTATGGTAAATCTTACGATTGAACTCAGACTTGTACCCATGTGACCTCAGCGATAGAACACAAATTGATTATTCACTTGACCACCGGGTAACGATTCAAATTGTTACACATTGTCTAAACATGAGCTGTGTAAATTGAGACAGTTATTTCCCGAAATAAACTTGAACAAAAAAACACAACTCTGCAAAAGCGAACACGATTTAATTCCGGAATCATTTCGCTGCATTTCAACTGGTGCTTACAGCAGGATACAAATCTGTTTATATATCACAGGTGTTGATAATACAGCATGGTATCAATTCACTCTTTTGCTTGTGTGATTACCAGGGCAATGCTAGACTGATGTAGAACTCCTTTTGCTGACACAGTAGGGGCTTTCGGTGCTTGATTGATATGGCGTTTGCAAATCTCAGCAACCGTCCATTCGAGGCTGTATAAACAACCCAAAAAGAAGTTCCGCGATCGGCTTGGTAGCCAGTCTGCAGCAGATGGCAAGCAATTGAAGATACAGGTGTCCTGTACGGCTGACTTGGTGGGCTGGTTGTTTGTCTAGCCCTCAATCTGATCCGTTCGCGTTCCACCCATGGTGGTCTATGTTCTGCCACTCGGGTGCACAGCTGCCTCTCTGTTCTGCCCACGTAAGTGGCTCCGCACCCACATTGAAAACCATAGATAACGTGTGATTTGGCGGACAAAGGGAGGGATGATTTCACCAAGAGCTTCGGAATCTGGGTTGTGGTGAAGCGAACGATGGGATTTGGAGCAAAATATGTGCAAGCTACCTATGCCACCAGCCGTCTTCGTGTAAGTGTGCAAGTTTGTTATCAGGATCTAAACTCGTTCAGCTCAGAGTACTAATACTGTAGTTCTAAGATTTTCACGCCACGTTTCTTTTGCTCTCCACGCAAAGCGAGGTATTCAATAAAATATATATATATATGTGTGTGTGTGTGTGTGTGTGTTCAAGTCAATGGGAATACAATGGTCTATTCGGTAGAATTTTGCTTATAAATATTTTGCAAATTTTTGTGTGCTGCATATGTGGGCCACTGCCAGTGAATAGACGTTTAATAAATCGTAAGATCAAAATGAAATTTTTGAGAAGCAACTGGAAAAACCTGCGGACGTGACCGGCACGGACTACCCCCCCCCCGTTCTGCCTACACCTGAGTAGTATGCTCATTTTTGAACGAAAAGAAATACTGCACACTTGATATAATGCAAAAGATATAGGTAAACAAACAACCACTGTACAATAATAATAATGATAAAGTAAAAATATCTAATATAAACAATGAAAGTATATATTATACTGAGAACATTAAAAATGGTAAAAATGATTATAAAGTAATAATACGTCTGAAATTAATAAGGATGAAATTTGTTTGCGACTTAAAAACAACTTCCATTTATTTTGGAAAGATTCGATCGAAAAAAATTATACTATCACATGCTGTATTGAACCTCGTCCAAGTGTATCCAGATCGTATCGCTAACCAACCCGTACATATTTTTCAATGCACTACACGGAAACAAATATATGCAAGTTCCGTTACAATTAACTGGCGGTCTTACATGTATTCCAAGCCAGGAGAATCTTTAAATCTACACAAAAGATAGCTGAAACAAACACCATCTGACATGGATTCAAAAGTGTCAAATTTATACACGATATGTGTATAATAAATTTATTAAAGATGCTTAAAGTTACTTGTAAGTATTGGTACCGAAAAATTGGTATTGATTGATTGGAACTGACAGTCCTTCAGACTTCATCCTCACGCACATTCCTCAGCTATCCCAGTCAACCAAAAAGCCCTAGACTGAAGTTTCACTTTCATCAGAGCTCATCAGTAGTGCATATACACCGTCCCGTCCGGGATTTGAACTCACGACCCATCGGGCATAGAAGGCGTGTGTGTTTTAACACTGTGCCAACCAGCTCTTTCCAGGGCTGAACCGAATTGCCAATTCAAGTTTGTCCAGGTGTCATCTTCAGAGATAGTCATTCAGTCAGTTTAATTTGGCATCTTGATTTATCAGACTACATTGATTCCGTTTCGTATGATACACCTATGGATCATTCGAAGCCCATGTCACTGCAAATCGCTGTCCACGGGTGAACAGCATTCTGTGCCTAGCTTTTGCAATTGTGGCCAATAGTGGTCGTTTTTGTATTCTCTGTTTACTGGGGATATTCCAAATCCACAAAACATGGCGAAATATTCCAGATCATTGATTAATGATTTACATGTTGCCCTGTCTATGGGTGTGCATCTCTCCTTAAAGAACAAAATACTTCATCTAATCATGCAGGGCTGAAACAATCCAAACACCAAAAGAAAACACTACAGCTCATGTCAACGGTGCACAGAAAGAGGTTTTCACAAGGATTAGAACGCTGTGATATTGACTCCCACGTAGATGATTCCTTTCTCGAATGATTCACTTGATTTGCCGGGGGTTTTTGGCAAACATGTTATTACATTATGGTGTGATGGATCGAAAACCTGCAACGCACGCTTGAGTTGTGGTCAACTGTGGCAATTGTCGGACGGTTTTAATCATATTTGTTTCTGTTTG